TAATTAATGGTTTTTATAGTTTGTTTTTTTTTTTCAATTCGTAATAGGTAATTACTGGAATGTAATTTTTTAAATTTCAAAAGCTTTTATAAAGCATATTAATTAATTAAGTTAACTAGTTGGTGTTCTTTTTTGGTTTCTCTTTTTCTAAATGAATACATTTTTTTAATTTTATAAATTTTTGCCATCATATATATATAAAATCCATCATATATAATATTAATCAATTACACAGACTAAATTAATTTTTGTTTTTTTTCCATTCAAAAATTCGTAACGCTGCAATAGAATTTTCTTTTGGTTTCAAAAGTTTTCATAAAAATTTACAAATTAATTAGATTGAGTAGCTAATAATTAATGCTCAAAATTATAATTAAAATATGAAATGTATTATCATTTTAACTCGATCAGTGTTGCATGAATTTGTCTTAATTAACAATATTTATCAGCGACTGAAAATTTCTTTAAGAAATTTTTTAAATTTCTTCCAAAAAAAGAAATTCATTTGAATATTTTCAAACTAACAGTAAGACGTGATATTCTGATAAAAGTTTCTCAATTTGATAATTATTATCATTTAAGTGAAATAAAATATATGAAAGTTTCATTGCGAAAAATAAAAAATTTTCATTTTTTTTTTGAATTTTAAAAGAAATTTAAAAAATCAAAATTTTTTGCCTTAAATTAATTGAAACAATAAAAAAAGAAAAAGATTGAAACAATAAATATAAGCCATTAATAGATCAAAAAAATTTGAATCTTTTTGAAATTTAAAAAAGGCGACAAAATAATAAATTGAGAAATAAAAAAGCAATATTTTTCGCCTTTTCTTTACTTAACAGTAACTTCCACTCTATCAAGCCTAGCTGAATCCATTTCATGTTTTCTAGGCCATTAATTCAGTTAGACCTATTTCTTCTGGCTCCATCTCATCTAGGCTGCTTTAATCTCATTTATTGCCAAGTTGCTGATTTCATTTTAGGCCCAGTTATTAATCTCTTGGACTATTAATTTTATCTCATTGAGGCTAATTGTATATCGATTTCTATCAAAGATAGCTATTTTTTATACTTATAAATTTATTTTTCCATACAATAATTGTATGTTTAGAGAATTACAAATCATTTTTAGTTTCAAAAAAAAAAAAAAAAAGAAAAGAAAAAGAAAAAGTAATTCTCTTGATTTTTCCACACTTTAATTAATTAATTTGAAAAATTCTCATCTAGTAAAGAAGTATTTGTCATTTTTGCTTATGCAATGATTTTATCTTTCGTAGTAAAAAATTTTTGTTATTTTTACTAAACAATACAGAGAAAGAAAAAATGAAAATTTTCATTTCTAAATTCCTTTTTTTTTTTTTGCCTTTATTAAAGTAATAATTCAGTTTTGATTGAAAAAGAAAATAAGCAGAAGGAAAAAGAAGAAGAATTCTTGTTTTATATTTCATAAATGTATTGAAACTATAAAACCGGATTTAAAATCCGGTATATTATCATTGCATATTATCTTTCTGATGCAATAAATGATAAAAAAAAAAATTGTTAAATGATTTATTGAATAAAATTTGAACGCGAAAGAAACAAATGCAAAAAAAGAAGAAAAGATAAGAGTATGTTATGTTTTTTTTTTTTTTTTTAAATTAATAATTTAAGTTTAAAATTGACCGATGTATATTTATATTGAAATTGATTTACATTTAAAAGAAACTCAGTGATTTGTATTCTTCCTTATCGTTTTTTATTATAAATTTATTATAAATAATTGTTATACTTCTTGAAAAAAAAGAAAAAAATAATATATTTGCATTTGTAAGTTAGAAATTTATCAAAATTTGCTATGTCTCTTTAAAAAAAAAAAAAAAGATAACAATATATTTATATTTGCAAGTTAGAAATTTATCAAAATTTTTGCATGTATTACTGTATTAATACTTTATATTTTACTGTTTGTTATTTGAAATTGAACAAAAAAAAAAAAAAGGAATCAAACCAAAATTTATTTTATTTTTGACAAAAAAATCTACAATCAACTTTTTCTCTGCTTTTAAAATAAACAAATGAAATCAATCGTTTACTTTTCTCTCTTTTTTTTTTTTTTTAACTTGTACTTTTTTAACCCAATGCCATATTATTTTTTTTTTTCGTACAATGAACATATTATTAAAAATTTGCGATAGTAATTTTTTTCTCTCTTTTTTAAAATATTAACATCAAAATACTGATTAAGTAAAATTTATAAATCGATAATTTAATGAAAAAAATTTTTCAAAATTTTATGGATTTAAAAAAAAAAAAAAACAGTTTATGTTTATGTTAAACAATTTACGTTAAACAAAAAAAAAAGTTTATATACAAAAAAAAAAAAGTATTTTCAGAAGAAAACAAAAAACATTTTATCTTTCATTTTCAGTCATTTAAAATTGCAACAATGTCACAAAGATATCAATCAAATAGATCAAAAAAATTTTTTAAAAAAATGTTTTTTTTTTTCTTTTTTTGTAATTTTATTTTACTAAAACTGAAAAATGGAAACTACTGCTAAATAACTGCTAAAAAAAAATAATCAAATTAAAAAAAACAAACAAACCAAAGTCAACAATGCAGCATTGATTGTCTCGATTAAACGTGATACGTAAACGAGAAATAAGCGTAGTTAAACGTACGAGCAAACGTCAATCTCTACCAAACGCATCAAACGACTGTCTCTTGCATTTTGCATTATTCACTATCGATGGGTATTTGTCTAGATGACATGTCATCATTTTACGCACCTTCCCATAATCAATATCATTTCATTTTAATTGTTAATTTCTCTCTTTTCTTTTCCTACATTCTCCCGCATTATGAGATTATATTACTGAAAATGAATATTAATCTTATAAATTTTCAAATAAATTTAATTTTTTGCATAAAACTTTAATTTCATAAATTTTAATTTAAATTTAATAAAACAAACAGAAAAAAAAAATTTTTAATTTCATTAATAAAAATTCAAATAACATCTATTCTATTTGCAAAACAAAGCAAAAAGAAAAAAGAAAGAAACTGAGAAATAATTCCTTTTATTTTCTATTTTTTTGCTAATAGAATGAAAGTAAAGCAAAATTTTGAATTTTACTAATTCAATAAGAAAATAATGCATACATTATTAAGCATATAATAATTAGCCAATAATTTAATAAATGAAGATTACAAAATAATTCATAAAACAAGTTTAACAAAAATATTGCATAGTTGCAAATAGAATATAATTTAAGTTGCAAATAGAATAAATGCTATTTAAATTTGTTATTTAAATTTTTAAACTATGATTATTGTAGGCCAAAGATTGTTAAAATTAAATTAAGGTAAAAATTTGATTCATTCATACTTCATATTGAAACATTTTATCAACAATATAAATAAACGTTGCAATCGGATATTTCTTCTTCTAGCACTTCCCATCCACATATCATTGTGATACATTAAATTTCGGCGCAGTTGACTCAATTCATTGTGCTCTATGTAACAAATTTAAACAAAATTTTAACAAAAAAAAAAAAAAAAGAAAGAAAGAAGAGAAAAGGAAAGGAAAAAAAAAAACGGAAAATCATCAAAAATGGAAGGAAGTAATTTGATAAATTCATTGAAGTTTGCTGAAATTTTAAATCAGTGTAATTTCGAGAAGTAGAAAAAGGCGAAGTAAAAATAATGGGAGCATTTGTATATCAAAAAAGAAAAAAGAAAACTAAATTTGGATTTGGAAAAGATTTTAATTTAAGTATTTTTTGAAAATTGACTGCATTTATAATTCATTTCTTTCTTCGTATTGGCAGCAATGATTTCATATCATTTACCAATGCTTTTTTTAAAAGAAAAAAAAAAAGAGTAAAAACCAAAAATTCATTAAAATTGACGAAAGATTTAATTAATATTTCTGCCATATCTAACCATTTTTATGATATTATGATGAAAAAATTCAGTTTAATAATACTTAATAATAAATAAAAATTATTACTTAATAATAAATAAAAATTAAAAATTATGTTAATTATGTTAAGAAAGCAATTTAACACTGAATTGTTTCTTTCTCACTTTATTTAATTATAAAAAAAAAAAAAAGTGATTAGGAAGAAAAATTTACATCAAAATGTATTTTTTTCTTTTTGTTTTTGTTTTTTCGTTTCTCCAACATTTCGTATAGAAAATGAAATCTTTTCATTTGCTAAAATTATTATATTATTTAATTACTTTCATTAATGCTACCACTTTCAATTAATATTTCTGCCATTTTTACCTGTTTATTTTGACATTTTATCATTTTTTAGCAAATTATTATTTATCATAGTGCAAATTATTATTATTATTATTATTATTATTATTATTATTATTATTATTATTATTATTATTATTATTATTATTATTATTATTATTATTATTATTATTATTATTATTATTATTATTATTATATTACTATTATATTAACAATTATTATTATATTACTACAAATATTCTCAAAGCAATGAACAGCACAGTTGCTATTATTTATTACTAATATTATAACTGATTACTATCATTATTTTGATAGTGAATTTAAAAAAAAAAAAAAAAGAAAGAGAAAGAAAAAGAAAGAAAAGTTATAGACTATACGTATTAAAAGTTCCTTACCTTGCTTAATTTATCATTAATTTTAATAAAATTTTAAACTATTCATAATTTAATTAATTTACTTTTTCTCTTACCATTCATCGTTTCAAATTAGTAAACAACGAAAAAAAAATCTTTTTGGATAAATTTTGAAAAAAAATCAAAATAAAATAATTTTAAAATGTTAGGAATAGGAATGCAATGCTAATAGTAGTTAATTCTTTGATCTTCCGATCCATCTTCTCTTCTTCAAATGATTAATTTTGTGGAATAGAATTGTGAGAAGTAATGATAGTGTAATGAGCTAACAGTACTCCAACATAGCGGCTAGAAAATTTAAAAAGATGTTTAGAATGTTTTACTAATTCTTGCAGAATGTACCTTTTCTCTATTCTCTTTCTACTTCAGGTTCCTTCTTGGTTTTTTTTTTTTTTTCTTTGTTTTCATTAATTATTTTGAAATCATTTTTTTTTTCTTTGATACGATTTTACATTATTTAAAATGATTAGTGCAAAAAATTTTCAATCGTTTAATTTATAACATTTTAAAAGTTAAATTTGTAATTTCTTTTTTTCATTTTTAGTTTCAAATAGTTCCATTACTTAATGGTGCTCGAGTGAAACGAAGTAGTTGTGGAACATTACATGGCTGCTGGTATAATAATTATTATTTTTTTTTTTATTATTTAAAATTATTTCTTTTATTTTTCAAGATAATTAAGTACACTTTGTTTATTGTAATGAAATGGTATATATTATTGTCATTCATTTTATGTTGACACAATTGATAAATTATTATTATATGATTATTTAGCAAAAATTATCATCATATAAAATGGAATAGTTTAATGAAGTTTATTAAAAGTTTGTTAATTTTATCAAATATTAATGTGATATATGTATTAATTTCAAACAATAATTTAATAATTAATTAAATGCATTTACATTACAGATTTAATTATTTTGTGTTAATTTTTTTTTTTTTTTTCAAAATAAAGGTCTGTACCTAATGGTTGTAATAGTAATAATGAATGCACTGCAAATTTACGTTGGTCCGTAAGTGGTCGTGGAACATTTCTTCGTTTACGTCTAGAAGCGCTCCTACGTGATTTGCCATCTTATGCAATGTACATAGCATTGGGTTTTTCAAATGATGAACATATGGTAGATATTATTGATAACAATAAATTTTATCATTCATTTCAATTAGCTATTCGTAATTTATCATTGCTCATTTTGTTTATTAGCGCACATTTTACAATTTTATTTTTCAATCTGAAATAATTAATTTTATGGTATACTAATTATGCAAAATAAATTATGTAATTATTGTTTTTTTTTTTTTATGAAATGGCATGAAATTTATGTAATTAATTAGATAATTATTATTTAGGGTGATGACACAGTGTTAGAATGTATTTACAATGGCATTGATGAAGGAAGGGCGTATTTGTCCTACAATGATGGTACTTATAATACTCAGTTATATGAGGTTATACTAATTTGTTTGACCATCCATTAATTAAATGCTTGAGTTTCAAAAATTTTATGATTAAATTATCATAAAAATATATTTCAATTATTCATAGGCTTTACAATAATAATAATAGTACTTTAAATATCTCATTCAATTAAAAAATTATTATTTTAAATATGGTTTTAATCATCTTTAATATAATTTTACGTTAAAACGCTTCTTTATTAGAACATTTATTTGTGCTAATTATTTAATTATTCAAATAAATTTAATTAATTTATTTTATTAATATAAAATTTTTAGTTTGTGCAGTTTACAATTAGGTTAATTTCAGGCTACAGCTATTCTTATTGTAAATTCCAGTTTCATTGTAAATGATAATACTTTCACTTGTTTGCTTGATGTTGATTTCAAACAACTTTATCGATTATCTAATAATGATAAATCAAAAGTTTGTTTCTTTTTTTTTTTCACATTATTACTATTAACCTTTAACCCTTCATTCATGCTAATAATCTTTAATATTGTCTTTTTTATTATATACAAATTATTTGTTTTTTATACAAAAAATAAATTAAAACATTTTTAGGTGCACAATTTATTAGCAAAGCCATATTACTTACAATTTGTTCGTGGATTAATTGAACAGCATAGTAAGCGCTTTTAAAAAATTTCTACAAATAATTTTCAATTTTTCATCAAAAATATTTCGCTTTTTCATTTTTTTCTTTTTTTTTTGAAATTTGAATTAATAAAAAGTTTAATGAAAAAAATTAATAAATATTAGCATATATAAAGAAGATGCATTCATTATCGGATGGTTCACTATATCCATGGATAACAACAACAATGATTAATATGTTACGAAATAAAAATGGAAAATATGAATACGTGAAAAATGCACGGCAAGTCAAATGGTTTTCACGTAATACCACGTATGCGATGGTAACTTTACACGGTAAATTAATATTTTGCTATTACAATAACAATAATAATAATAGTAGCAACAACAACAACAACAAAAGAAGAAAGAAAAAAACGTTCACTTGTTTTCGTTCATTTTTTCTCTTTTTTTTGGAAATATTAAAAAAAAAAAACGATAGAAATAAATATATGATGGTTATTGAGATGAGTAATTAATTTTATATTATTTATTTATAATTGCAATGAAGTTAATAATTTATGATAATTATTAATTTTATTTAACTTAAATTTCTTGTTTTAAAATTACTTATCATTTTATTAAAATTTGAGTGCTAATTATCAATTATATTAATTGTTGCATTTATTATTTTAAAATATTCAAATTAAATAATGCATTTAATTTATTTTTTATTTTAAAATTTAATGATATTAATAGTTACTCTGCTTTTGTTTACTTTTCTTGTTGGACAGAATATCATAAATTAGGTTATTAGTTGTTTTGTTTAACTTTTTAAGATACCATGAGCTAGGCCAATAGTTGTTTTTCTTGTTACCCTAGTATATCACAAGCTAGGCCAATAATTGTCTTGCTTGTTACCCTAGTATATCACAAGCTAGGCCAATAATTGTCTTGCTTGTTACCCTAGTATATCACAAGCTAGGCCAATAATTGTCTTGCTTGTTACCCTAGTATATCACAAGCTAGGCCAATAATTGTCTTGCTTGTTACCCTAGTATATCACAAGCTAGGCCAATAATTGTCTTGCTTGTTACCCTAGTATAACACAAGTTACGTCTAATAGTCATTCAATTTGACATTCTTCAATTATTGTAAATTAGCCTAGTAGTTTTGCTTTGTTTCATATTTAATGCCAGCTAGGTTAGTTTTAATAATTTCAATTATTTTTCTTTTATTTCTGATTTCTTATGGGATTTGTTTATTACTTTTCTTGGCACATAATTTTTCCTAAAATTATTTCTTGATTAAAATGCAATTGTTGAATTTTCTCATCAATTTTAAATAATGAAATATAACAGGAAATTCAAAATTATTATTTTTTAAAAATTTATGTTATAAATTGGAAAATTTAGATTTCTAAATATTTTTTTTTGCTCCATTTAAAATTTTTAATTATTTTTTTCTTTTTTCAAAAAACAAAAAAAGAAAAAAGAAACAACTCAATTAATTTTTAACAAATGAAAAATAGAAAATTTTTCAATTTCAATTTTTTTTTATTTTTTGCAGTAATCTTAATGATTTGGAGTTGGTGGTTTCTCTTATCAAATGCAATATTATTATCACGACATTTTAAAACATTTTGGCCTAACATACAAATTAATCATATACCTATTTGGTTTCAAGTATGTTTTAACTGATTTATAAAATTTATTAATTTTTTTTAAAAGCAAAATATTCTTTTCTTTCTTTTAATTTCTTTTTAAAGCTTCATCGTGGTGGTGCACTAATATCAATTATGCTACAAACGATAGCTATTTTACTCATTTTTATTCAATCAAGATTTCAATTTTATTTGTGGTGTACACGGCAATGCACCATAGAGGTTAGTTAGATTATTTCAAGAAAAAAAAAAAAGTTATCACAAAAATAGTTGCAAAAATTAACAAATAATTTTATTTTAAAATTAACCAAAAATATTTCATAAAAAAAGCGAAGCAAATTCTTTTCATTTCAAAAAAAAAAATGACTTTTACAGATTCTATGCTACTTGGAATATTCCTTTTCTTTTTTTTTTTTTCAAATAAATTATATTTTTTTTCTACTACCATTTCTAATTGATGCAAATGAAATGATAAAATTAATGTGTGTTAATTATATTTCAAAAATTTTTTGTAATTTATATTTGATATAATATATATTCAATTATATGATAATTTAGAATAATTGTTATTCCACTTGGCTAATTATTACAGCATTTTATGAAGCCAATACATACTTGGTCAGGCTTAATTGCATATATACTTGCTGTAATACAAATTATAATAGCACTCTATCAATTCAAACAAAAATTCATCAAACGATTTTATTTCAAATGGTTTCATCGTACTTTGGCACTTGTTGCATTCATCGCTGCATGTGTGTTTTGTTATTTTACACTCTTATTTTTCGTTAAATTATATATTTATTTATGTACGTTACGTATAAATTAAACAATAAAATATTTTCTGAAATCTAAATTTAATTAAACGCTAAATATTTTAAATTAAAATATTTTAAGTATAGTTTAGAAAATTTTTCTATGTAAAATTTTAAGTGAACGATAAGTAATTTTGAAAAGTATTATTTAATTTTAGTTTATTATACGATTATGAATTCATCATATTTATGCAAAAAAAAAAAATATGTGTAAGGTAAAAAAAATGAACGAATTTAAAAAAAAAAAAAAAAAGAAAGGAAAATTAACAAAATTACTTGTAGCTTTAGGAATACTTTCTGCAACATCGCATAATAAAACGGGCCTTATCCGATATTATGGAAGATGGCCAGTTCTTCTTGCTGGCTTATATTTGTGTACATTTTCCGCGGCGTTATTTGCTTTTAGCTTTTTGGATGCTTATAGTGCTAAAAAATTAGCCGAAAAAAATGAACATATCGGTTTGTTTTATTTTATTAGAATTTTTAAATTTAATTAAAAATAAATCTTTGATTAGTTGTTGATTATCACTTAATACAGTTATAATTATCACTTTGGGAAGAAATTTGATAAAACGTTCACGTAATAGCTTTACGTTTTATGAATTTTTGATGAATATTACTTGGTGATTGTTAAGATAGTTTTTATATTTTTTTCTCCATTTTTATAAAAGGTGATTGTTCAAGATAGTTTTTATTTTTTTTTCTCCATTTTTCATTCATTAAAGTGATAAAAATCAAATGACATTCATCAACTTTCATCAACTTGATTCAGAAGTTAGACTGATTCATTAAAGTGATTCAGGAGTCAGACTAATTCATCAACTTGATTCAGAAGTTAGACTGATTCATTAAAGTGATTCAGGAGTCAGACTAATTCATCAACTTGATTCAGAAGTTAGACTGATTCATTAAAGTGATTCAGGAGTCAGACTAATTCATCAACTTGATTCAGAAGTTAGACTGATTCATTAAAGTGATTCAGGAGTCAGACTAATTCATCAACTTGATTCAGAAGTTAGACTGATTCATTAAAGTGATTCAGGAGTCAGACTAATTCATCAACTTGATTCAGAAGTTAGACTGATTCATTAAAGTGATTCAGGAGTCAGACTAATTCATCAACTTGATTCAGAAGTTAGACTGATTCATTAAAGTGATTCAGGAGTCAGACTAATTCATCAACTTGATTCAGAAGTTAGACTGATTCATTAAAGTGATTCAGGAGTCAGACTAATTCATCAACTTGATTCAGAAGTTAGACTAATTCATCAACTTGATTCAGAAGTTAGACTGATTCATTAAAGTGATTCAGGAGTCAGACTAATTCATCAACTTGACAGAAGTTAGACTGATTCATTAAAGTGATTCAGGAGTCAGACTAATTCATCAACTTGATTCAGAAGTTAGACTGATTCATTAAAGTGATTCAGGAGTCAGACTAATTCATCAACTTGACAGAAGTTAGACTGATTCATTAAAGTGATTCAGGAGTCAGACTAATTCATCAACTTGATTCAGAAGTTAGACTGATTCATTAAAGTGATTCAGGAGTCAGACTAATTCATCAACTTGATTCAGAAGTTAGACTGATTCATTAAAGTGATTCAGGAGTCAGACTAATTCATCAACTTGATTCAGAAGTTAGACTGATTCATTAAAGTGATTCAGGAGTCAGACTAATTCATCAACTTGATTCAGAAGTTAGACTGATTCATTAAAGTGATTCAGGAGTCAGACTAATTCATCAACTTGATTCAGAAGTTAGACTGATTCATTAAAGTGATTCAGGAGTCAGACTAATTCATCAACTTGATTCAGAAGTTAGACTGATTCATTAAAGTGATTCAGGAGTCAGACTAATTCATCAACTTGATTCAGAAGTTAGACTGATTCATTAAAGTGATTCAGGAGTCAGACTAATTCATCAACTTGATTCAGAAGTTAGACTGATTCATTAAAGTGATTCAGGAGTCAGACTAATTCATCAACTTGATTCAGAAGTTAGACTGATTCTACTAATTGATATTCATTAATAAACTTGATTTAGAGAATGACCAAGCAAAAAATGCACGAATATCAACGAAAGTTGAAACTATTGAAATAGCAGATGAAGAAATCGAACATAAATTTTGTTGGGTAATTTCTTACAGACTATATTTTAATTTTGTAAGCTATTTTGCTAATGAATAGCTAATCGATTAATAATTAGTATTTTATCGATTAAGTAAACTTAACTACAATGCGGAATGCAAAAAAACTAAAATGAAAAATTAAATTCTAAAAATGTCAACAATGAATCCATAATTTAAATGATTATGAGAATATGAGTTAGGACAAGCCTTAAACGTTTAACTAGGCTTTTTTAATTTGACAGCTGATTTGAACAGATAAATATGAAAAATTTATAATCTTAGTGGGAAATGACTGAATTCTGCACAAATTAAATTATTCAGCAATTTTAAATTTAATTCTAGTTTGATAATTTATTGTTTAATAAATTTCAGATCAAGATAATTCGTTTATCAGTGCTTATTCTGCATGTAATCATATCATTCGCTGTTTGCTTTATCATTACAGCTATGGTTCTTATCAATTATGCCAGGAAACATTGATTATTTCACGTATATTATAACTATCATACTATCATATCAGTGGTTATCAAATGGATGGATAACTTTAAAACTTTTGATCTAATATAAATTCTTTTTGTTCTAATAACTCACATATTTAGAAAATAAGTAAATGTATGCTTTTCTAATAAATAATTTTGTTTTCCATTCTTATACTATGCAATAAATATAACTTACTCCTAATGTTTGCAATAATTATTATCAAAAAAAGTGATAATTTTATGATTGGTAAATTTTACTTTTTACAATTTTGTTTTGATTTAGATTTTTTTTATGCTTTTATTTTTGTTACATTTTAAATTTGTCTATATTCCATCATACCATTTTCTCTTCTTTTCTTTCTTTTTTAACTTGAACTTTTTTTGGATTAAAATATATAACAAGCAAGTAAATGCAACGAATTAGTTTGATAATTAGGACAAAAACTTTTTTTCTTAAAGTTTTTTTCTAGTAAAAATTAGTGTGATAAAAATTTGTAAGTATGTAAAAAAAAAGTTTTACGGTAAATCAGATGGAAAAAAAATTTTTTGAGAGATATTTTAGATAATGTCAATAATGATAAGATGTAGTGATGAATTTGTCATAAATTTTTGTGCTATCATACCATGTTGAATTATATCATATTGTGTATTAGATGATACTATATAAAGCCATGTGACAGCAACTTTTATTGTACTAAAGTTATGCTACTTAGATAGACTAAAAATCTTCTTATCATTTATCAGCTACCAGTTGTTAAAAAATGATATTTCCAGTATGTCATATTTGAGCCGAAGTTTTTCATATCGCTTCTATCATAGTTGCATTGTGTAAGCAATATGAAAAATGTTAGTAAAAAACGTGCCGTGCTGCTTCGTGGTTTGCTGCAATGTTTGAAATCTAAAAATTGATCACGTGGTTTTCCAACGTGTTTCACGTGTAGTGCGTTTTGTTTAAATATTTGTGGAATGTTAGAGTACTTTTAGCAAATGTTTACTAATTATTTACTTTATTATTCACTCTTTTTTTTTATCATATCCATTGTTTAATTTTCCTCTTTATGTTAAAAACTGTGATTGATTCTATGCAACAAAACAAATGAATGAAATGATATTTAATAGTTTAAAACATTCATCATTCCTTTTTTATTTGATTTCATTCATAAAAGCTCCATTTTTTTTAATTGTAATATAAGATTTTTGATACGGTATAAACAGTATAGGTTATGCTTTTTTAAATGCTTTTCGTTCTTTAAATTAAAGTAATCGTAAGCGTGTTCATTTGACTTTAATAATAGGTTAGAGTCGTAAAAAATTAACATTAGTCGTCATGTAAATGATAATGATAAATAATTATTACTTGACAATTCTGGTAATATCTCCACACTCTATTTTTCATAATTTCTGTTAGAGATGTCAGTTATGTTGGATCATTATTTGGACAATTTATCGACACTTCCTCGTGATTTGGCAAAGAATTTACAAGGGATTCGGAAGTATGATATGGAATGCCATAAGAGATCAGCCGAAATTGATCGAAAATTAAGAGTATTTGTAAAGTCGTGTCAAAGAATGCCGAAGAATGCATCAGTCTCGTTTAATAAAGAAATTATGGTAATTTTTCTTTTTTTTTCTTGTGGTGAATCATTTTGTGGAAATCGTTCACTTCAAAAAATTGGATGGAAATGAATTTGAATCACGAAATATGAGGTGAATACGACCACGGTTGGAAGTATGAATATAATTAATGATGAAATGCTATTAAGGGAAGTATGCTTAACTGAGTAAACTGATTATAAACCATCTTGCTTAATTATTAGTACAATCTCTGTTTTCCTTGTACTAATCAACTTTTGGTCAAGTAGTTCCTTTCCAGAGATCTTTACATGTAAATCAGCGGAGCGATACTGTTATCTTTTTTCGTGCCAGCAACGTCATTTACTTAGGATGGTGATTGTTATTTTATTTCTCACATTCATTATATATTTAGCTGATCTGAATATAGAATTACTCAAAATTTACTTTCGGTTTCAGTCATAATATAGATGTATAGATTCATTTCTATTTCAAAAGTAGCTTGTCTTTAAATACAACTCATCGGACATCAATTTTTGCAGACTTTGTTTGCGGAAATCGAACGTTTATCAAATGAAAAGATTCGTTTGGCATCAGACACTTACGAACTTGTTGATAAACATATCAGACGTTTGGATAACGACTCAGTGAAACTTCAAGCTACAATACGACAAAAATATTTGGATGCTGCAGCGGCAGCTGAGGCAAAGGCTAATAAAAGCGGCGGTAAATGTTAGAATGTCTGTTGTATGTATATATATTAAACTCTTGTAAACTAAACTCTATGTACATATATATAAGCCGTTTGTGTAGGTAATCGAGATTTCTGTGCTCAAATTTTTGCGTTTATGGTTATCTAACATAGTTGAAATTGTTGTTTTTTCAAAGGGCATCTTGTATTAAGTACTTTCATTTTTTATATCAACGTTGCCTTTTTCTTTATTTTCCTTTGCCAACCACTGTTTTTACCATATCATTGTAAAGTAGCGGAATAAAGTAGTATTCGCTTTCATGAGTAGTATTGGAGGTTTGACGGTAAAATAATTTCTTGCCGAAAAGGGTAATTTGAAAGGGCTAAAGGCTTCTGATTTAAAATTCAACATTAAATTCAGATGAAATGCTTGACCGGAAAAGAAAGACTATTGCGGGTCGTAAGGATAAGAAGAAATTAAAAGAGGATAGCTGGTCTCAAAAAAGTACAGGTATGTTGCAAAGTATGCTACTAGTACACGTCCATAAATATTTTTTATCTCGAAGTTTTACTGAATATGTTGACAAATGTTGTATTGCTCATGCATTTCCCATTTCATAGTA